TTTTTAATTTTAGATTTTAAACATTATATTTAATCTAAATTTATGAACTGCTCATTCTTAACAAAACAGTTGCAGTAATAAAATGTAGAAAACAAAATATTTTTAATTTATTACTGTGATATTGTTTCTAAAATGCAAATTTTGGAATCGTGAATTGAAAACTGATTATACATAATACATTAAATCTAGTGAAAAATACTGTAAAATATTTTGGACTGTTGATTCGTGAATACGGGAAGTAAGAGAAGATCTACCTTACCGATGGATGTAATTACTAATAGTTAGCTTTACAATAAAATGCCCTTCTTTGAAAGTTCTGTTTACTGCAAAATGCCTTAATAGTTTACATATCATTTGTTTTCTTAAATCATTTCATTACCTCTAATAGTCATGTTGATCAAGCTTTATTAAGAAGAAATTAACTGCTAAATACGAATTAATTTAAATGATTTTGTAACTATAAACGAGTTCCATTATAATATACTTTATGTTATGTGAGTAAAGTAAACGTAGTAGATAAAGGATTTAAAAATACTAATAACCGATCAATATTGCATTTTTATTAATGAGTTGAATCTTTTAATAAATAAGTATTTTCAGCACAAAGGAATCTTTTTCCATTAATAAAAATGCAGTTGAACTAAAGAACTTTTAAAACAATATTTTTTCTGCACGTTATTTTTATTATTTTCATTATATTTCCGTAGAAGTGCTCTTGTTTGATAGAAATTGAGTAAAATCGAGAAAAAATAGGTTATAAGTTAAAAACAAGGCAGAACTTATTGAAAGGCGTTAGTAAGCAGGTCAAATCATAATTTTTCACTTCTATACCCATTTAAGAGGTTGAGCTACCGCTTGTTAATCCGATTTGCTTAGGGATGATTCAATGAAAGTTGCAGATAAAAAGTATTAAAAAAAAATTAAAGGAATGCAAAAGCATCAGTATTGACTAGACTATGACGGAAGTGCGGAAACTATGCCATGTAGCAAGCGGTAGTAAACGAAGAATCTTGTAAAGTTAAGTGCAGTTTAAAGTGAAATGGGTGTAAATTTAATAAAACATATTTGCACTTCATAAAAGCATAACTGCTGGTGTAGCAGGATACTCCGCGCACCTAGCACACGCTTCACTTGCTCGTAGCAATATTATTTTCATCGAAGTGTGGGTGGTGCGTTCAATTGGATTTACCTTCATAAGTATTTAAATTTGTTCAATATCGACTATATAAATCATTTTACTCTAAGCAATTTTCATTGTGTATGTTTGTCGTTGATATGATATGGCATGATGTTGCTATCACAGAGCAGCTATTGATGATTATGATTTTATCATTGACAATGTGCATTGCCACGATGATGATGATGTGATGCTCACTTGACAACGAAAGTGTTGTGAAAAGTTAAGCAGAATTGGTTTCTTGCCAAATGGCAAATGTCTTATAATATTAAATTCAAATTTGATAGTAGCAGTAATTTTTATAGCTGTTATATCCAACCAATAACAAGCAATATTGCAACTAAAATAAAAAAGAAGAGTAACGAGTAGAAAAAAGTAATTTCAATAGAAATAAATTTAGTTGTTTTTGTTGTATAAATTAAACGATAACACTATCATCATTAGCATTGCATATAGTATCTGCAACAGTTGCAGTTTTATAATTTTTAGATTTTCCCAATTTTGCAATAACTTCATAAAATATTTTGTGTGCCATAGTATGCAGAATCATATGCACGCATTGTTCAACGATGTGCAACAAAATTTCCAATTTTTACATATAATTTATGGATTTTCAACACAGCCAGCAAAGTTCAGAACACCAAAATATTAGATGCAACTAAATAAAAAATTGCATTCAATAAAGCGTGTAGAGCTGAGGAGACGCCGAGCAGCGCAGTAATTTGTAATTATTTGCTTTTCATGTGAAATGCATTTTAGTTTGAACAAATTCTTAACGATTTTCTTCGAAATTAAAATTTAATGAATTTTCCTAAAAACAAGTTGCAAACGTTTAATATTTTAAAATTTATCATCAGCAATTTTGTTTGTTAATGTAGCATGTTCATGCTGCTACTGCTCCAGTTGTTGATGCTGCCGTCGATACTGCGGCATCAATTTTAAAAGTATTGCGTAAATAAAAATATTTAATTTTCGACTACGTACTAAGTATATTTTAGCGAAACTAATGGAGCATATATGTATTTGGTTTCTACACCAATTTCCGTTAAGCACCAATTTATTTTTATAGTAAATTATTAAAAATTATTTAAATTTTTGTTATTTAAAAAAAAAAAACTATTGATTATATTTGTATTATTTCTTAAATATATGAATATGATTTTAAATACTATCATGTAGAATGATTCATCATCATTATCCGCTACTATACAGTTCATCCAGCCTGTTTAACAACAGTCTTCCATTCATCGAAATCCTGCTACATACTGTCTTTCCATCGCTTTCTTGGTCGCCTTCTTCTTCTACTGTTTCCTACTTCATTAAATCTTAAGCGGTACTCTAATATCCTTTTTCAATAATTTGTTGATTGTATCACCTCCAGCTAGCCGTTCTAGCTCGTGATTGTTTCTTATGTGATAATGAAGAATGATTCCTGATTCCTGATATCCATGAATCGTATACCATATATACATGAATCATACATGGTATATCCACTGTTTATGTTAGAAGTTCTAGAGTAGTGATATACCAAGGATATTGAAATGGAAATATTTGTATATATATATTTATATTATACAGCAGAGAACTCTCTAACTAACTTTCATAAATGTGGGAGGTGATAATTTAATTTTTTAAAATATGAAAAAATCATATAGAAGAGGAATGCCTATTTTCAATATTGAGACACTTTATAGTCTATCTAAAAATGTACTTAAAAAAAATTTGATCAAAAAACTTTTAATATCTCAATTGTTTGATTATTTCAAATAGGTAACACGCTCCTGTACTTAAATGCATTCGCAACTTATAATGATTCAAAGTTGACACTTTGTACAAGTTTTGGATTTTCATGGTAATTTTTGTATAATGCGGCAATAAATGTCTCATTAGAATTCCAAGGGATTTCGCCGGTACCAATAGGAGCTATACGTTTGAATATAGTTTTCTTTTTGGGAGATAGTTAAATTTTTCTAACACCTTTACTGTGTTTTAAGTTACAGTACCCGGTTGGAAAATGTAACTTCACATCGAATGACAGTAAATGAATACAGTCATTCAACCAATTGATATTAAGAACCTATTGATATTAAAAAAAAAAACAATTAAACGGTAGATGAAACGATAGATATTATGGGTCAACTACTAAAAATGATCTCCTTGGATGAAAAGACTCCAAACAAAACTATCAGGTTTCATTAATACAGGGATTATACGAAAATAGAGACATTATAATGAGTACAGGAAGTTAAATTTTGATAGCGCAATGGTTTTCCTAGTTGCTAGTGAAGCTTTTAACTACAAAATACGAGATTGTTGATGTATTCAATGCAGGTTCATATTCGTGTGTCTCGTGTTTCGACGGACTCAGAACAACAGATTATGGTAAAGGTTAAGGTATATACCAAATTTAAAATATATAAAAAAAAGTGATTGTTTTGCTAAATTATGTCAATACAATTTCGTTTCAACTAAAAAAATGCAACATTATGAAAAGTGGCTTTCTAAAAGGGGTTAATTTCTACATACCTATAATTAAATATTCATAATTTAACGTTTACTAAACAAATGAGTTGTAATATCGTATAAAATAATTGTAAAATATAAATAGAAACATATATGAGACAATAAATTGGTAATTATTATAACACTGAATATTAATTAAATTTTCATTGCACATTTAGTATACACTTGAAAAATTTCGATAAAACCTTATCATATGTATTATATTAATGTTATGTTTTATAAAACGTAAATGTTAACAAAGTTAACTTCATTTTTTGAGTTGTGCGGAATTCCTTAATTCCAGTGTGTGGTACTATTTCTACTAATTACCTGTCTTGTGTGAGAGTAGAAGCATCATCTGTCAACTTGAAGGATTGTCAGTGTAAAATTAACTAAATAGATTTTTCGCGCCAATCTTAAATGGTAGAGTTTGAAAACAAACTAACAAACCACAAATCGTCCGCATTACTTTGACAGGATAAAGGAGCAAAGCTATCAAAAGAAACTATGCTATATAATCGTCCCCAAAACACCCACCCACTTTATTTTGTTCATAATATGAAAATCATTACTAACATCATTAGTTGTGTTGGTGCAAATGATGATCATTATGAAGAATCGCTACGACAGACGAAACAAAACCACAACAAGTTTTGAAAATAATTCCCACTCAACATGCAACATTTCCTCATTGCAGGATTGTTTGCACACGTACATCACACATATTTAAAATATAAAATAAATCTTTATGGTGCAAAAATAGAAAAATCTACAAAACTATTCATATTTGATGTTGAACCAAAAGGGAAAGGGCCATCATAGTCGCTCTTCAAGCCGCCACAAATGATGGAATCAACAGCATCAACAACAGAGGGAGCAGCTAAAATAAACATCAAGCAGACAAAGAGGCGGGCGAATAGTTGTACTTTTGCAAATAGTTTTCGAGCGTTAGTTGTCACTGCGTTCATGTTTCTATTTGCGCTAAAAGTGAGATTTTATTTAACAATTTTATAAATTCATTCTGATTTTGTTTCTCTTTTTATATGCAGCAAATATCGTACTTGAATTTTAAAAGGATTTTTAACTATTATTATGTGTATGAAACTGCAAATGGATGCAACAAAGCAAGGATGCTAGTCAGTTATTTCAGCTATGCTGTGTCGGAATATTGACTTTTTGAAATTTGCTTCATGTTCAACAACAAATTTCATGAACTAATTTAAAACAATGCAATTCATGTTCTCGTATACACATATATGAGAACATATTCATGCTCATACTTATTTATAATGGATCATGATGGACAAGTACCATGTGATTAATATGTTGAACTAATAAGCAAAGTTATGCAGCTTAGATATAAGCATTTTCCTTATTATTTATCTACAAGCTTGTTTTATTTATACATGTAGACAAATTACCATCATAGGTTAACATTTTCATCAAGAATTTAATTTTAACTTTACATAAGTAAAATATCAAATTATTGTTTTAAAATTCTTGATACATTTACATTTTATCTATTAACTTTTAATATGAAACATGTTTTGTCACATTAGGTTAAATACATAATGATTAATAATTCCAATTAATTAATTTAAAATATGATCTTGTTATATTTTTTCACATATTACCTTTAATAAAATTATATTGGCTTTTAAATTCCAATACACATATATGTATCTGTATGAACATTAAAGAATTCTAAATTGATGGAATAAACCCTATTCGTCTCTAACCATGTTTCGTTGTAAGCCCTTTATTTTATTACACTATAAGTAATTTTTTAACTTTATTCAATAACACAAGATATTTTAATTTATAATATTGATGTTTAATACACATCAAAAGTATAAACTTAAACTTGAATATATAGCATTTAAACATAAATATTTTATTGTTATGTGTTTAGAATGTTTAAAAGATTTGATATAAGGCATATAAGAACATACTATGTTAATCACTGGGTAACTCTTCCTTGATTAAGTGGGGTGTATTAGTTATTTATTGATCCATTATTAATAATCGAACTGTTCCCACCGTTGTACCCCTAGTTGTTAGTTTGAAACAGTTAGTTGAAATCACCCCCTCAGTCTAGTACTAAATAGATTAAAATAGTAAAATATTCAGATTTTAACATTAACATTATGCACTTTCATGGCTATATTAAAAAAAAATTCAAATAAAAATATAAAAATTTATAAGCGTATACACTGATCAATGCAAGATTTTATTCTCAGTTTTATCAGTTGGAATATTCAATTTATTTAAACAGGAATTTTTGTTAGATTCTATTTCGTGAAATAGTTTTAGCTAAGTGGTCAAGTGATAAAGTACCTATACATCACTTAAAAACTTGCTTGTAAATTTTATTACTGTGGTTAAAGTTAAATCCTTTAGTTTTACAATGGACCTTATTTAAGGTTATACTATATTATCACAGTTCTTTATCGTCACTGCATTTGTTCAGAATCAATTCTTTAGATTAGTTAATCAGCAATTATCTGAGTGCTTTTTCCAATACTAACTTATCAGAGTTTCTAATATATACTTTTTCTAACAAATTATAAAATTGTTTGTTTTTTTTCATTGTTCTTTTTCATAACAACCAAAGAGATATGGAATCAGATATACTCGTATTAAAACAATTTTCAATAATTAAATTTAGGGAACTTTATAACTGATAATCATATTATTTTTTTCATGCGAAAATAATGTAATAAATAATAAACAATCTTAATTCTACAAAGAAATAAAAGTTTACAAATATTAATTGTTGGAAATATTATATTCAGATGAAAAGTGTGAAACCAATCTATAACTTAATATAACAAAAACAAAATTTCTGCAAAAGTCAAATTAAAACAAAATTATTTGAAACAAATTTTCAAGCCTTTAAATGTTATATTTGTATTTATTTCAATCTAAGGCAGGAGATAAGAATTTTTAGTATAATATGATCAATAAGATAATATGTGTTTATTTGTTTGTTTGTTTCTTACTGTCTTGATCTGGATCTCCATTTATATTCAATTATTTAATATGCATTTCCATAAAACATGAATATTTTGGTGTGTGAATTTGTACAATTATTTGAAGTGCTCATGCTGGTAATAAAAATCCGTATATGTAGTTACTTTTCTAATCTTTAAACAATTCAGATATACATATATGCAAGCTTTTTAAAAAAAATTATCAGTTTTGCTTATGTTTTAAAATAAGTCATAGTTTTAATTTTGCTATTCACTAATGCATCAGGCATATTTCTTCCATGATAAATCATTAAAGTACATACGTTGCAGACAACTGTAGTATATAGACAAAAATAATAAAATTTTATTCTCATTACTGTTTGAACCCTTCTAACTTATAAATAGTTTCTTTTCGTAAAACGCGTCACATTCGATAAAAAAATTAACATTTAAAAATTCTATCTTTAGTTAATAGTTGCCAATATAAATGAAATGTATAATAAATATTTCCTGCATTTAAAGAACAATATTAAATGTCAATAAAGGTTTGAAATGGTTTTTAACCCAAAAACAAAACAAAAAAGAACAATATAAATATTTTTTACTAACTAGTAGTATGTATAGTTATTTGATATTTAATTAATTTTGCTGATCTACAGCATCATCATTGTTTGTGGTTAAAATAGCCATAGTCGGGCTTTAGCCCTGAAGAAGTCTTCTTCATCTACTTCTGTCATTTGTTGTTGCTGACTAGTTCTAAGACAATTTTCGTAATCCCTAAGACTACTGTTTTAATATTTTGTTACGTGTAGTGTTCTTATTGATTCTGGGTAAGACTCAGTTTGTTTGAGAGATTTTAATGTCTTATGATATTTGATTATTTATATAAAGAATAAAATTTTAATTGTTTTGAATATGCTATTTACCGTATAGCGCGGTATGAAAGAAAAACCAAAAACATAAGCTTTACTTACCTAGTAGGGTTTCGAAATACTATTGGTATGAAGCGTTAAAACTAATAACATTCTATTAATTTTTGATATACACTCATTTTGTGCTGGAAACTGACTTTTTAATATCATGTTAAAATACTAAACTTATTCAATAAACATAAATAAGTTACCGTATTTTATTCAAATTGAAAAGTTTAGTTCAATGAAATTATTACAAACTGAGCAGGTGTTATAAATTTAGAATTTATGCTTTTATATAATTTAATTAATAAAGTTTTTGTTCATAACTGAAATATAAAGTATAATTAATACGAAATAATCAAAGGACAAAACAAGCCAGAAGGTAAACATGTATTATTTAAATTTCAATATTACCTTAAAATTATGTACATGTCAACATTTAAATTTATTTATGTCAATATTTTGTTTACAAAACAAATTTAAAACCTGCATTTTGTAAATTAAGTGAAAATTATGTTATTAGTAAAATTCAAATATATAATATTTGAATACATATTATATGTTGCTTATGCAAATACATATGGTATGTAAATTGAGTTGTAAGATTTTAATTAAAATATCTAAAGGTTTTAAGTGTTGTAATAAGAACAATATCTAATACTAATACTATCTTCACTTTAGATTAATTTTATGTCTAACTAATCAAGATGATCGTATAAAGACTTCAGATACTATGCTTTGGGTAATAATAGCATCACGAATATACTTATTTATATAAAAACTATAAAGAAATTAAATTTGCATCGGTTTTAAAATAATTTTAACACGTATTCCTAATCTTATGAAATATGATCTGAGTAAATGTGTACTATTCTAAATACATTCTAATTGATACAGTTCATATTACAAGTATAAGAAAAAGTTCACCAACCAAGTTCGTAAAAACGGAAAAATGGTTTTCATTTATGTGTTGTCTACATAAATAAAAAGAATGAATTTAATTTATCGAGATGAAGAAAATTTTTATGATAACGACAACCAAACTCAATCATTTTGACAAATGTTAAAGATTTGTCTCTAAAATTGCTAAGGTTAATTCTTTTGCATCAAAAATTCATTGGGCTAGTCCGCTTTAAAATATAAATAGACCGATGCGATTACATAAAATAATAATATAATATAAGATATTTTATACTATAAATTTTTTTTTTGACAAATTTTTGTGTTAAGCACAATGAAAACTGACAGCTGATTTGTATTCAGTACGTTTTGTCATTAAGAAACATTTAATGGAAAACAATTATAAAGCAAGTATAAACATACTTTTGACAATTATAAAACAAATCCTTTAGCTTCATTAATGCATACAGTCAGTAGTTTTCATGTAGGATCCTTTGATTTTGAAGTGTGCAACACTATTTGCAATGGGAAACTCATGGCATTTAGTTGCTGATTAATATTCAATGTGTTATGCTATTTCTAAATAAATATACATTTATCTGATTGAATTATTGGCCAACATTTTTGCAAAATGCTGCCGATCCGAACGTTAGTCAGTGAAAACTATTAAAGGTCCATGATTAATGATAATTTTGTTTTTCAATTAATTGATGTTAATATGCTAAAAAACTGATTTCAAAAATATTTGGCATACCACACACCTCGTGATTTAATAATCTTATTGCAGAAAGCATTAACTAGAACCACAATGTTATGCTATTGCAAATTATGATTTCACACCTCTGAACCAATTTCTATGGAGTTGTGTGTAGTCACTGGTCTAATCAAGTAAATCAGAAACATTGGGAGTAGTTGTAGGTGTATTACATTTTGATCATCTAATTACTTAATCTAATTAATTAATTAAGTAATTAAATGACAATCATATGACGGAACTAGCTGTATTCAAATTCGTCTGCTAGTCGTCGTTACATTTCCTGTATTGACGCCAGTTAAAGACGCCACTCACTATTCCGTGATTTTGTTCTAATAGTACCGTTTCCAACAGCTTCAGTTCCTGGAAAATTAAACTTCCAGTTTGTATTTTTTTCGAGCAAGTCACGTCGCAAATCATATTCAAACATTAATAATACATAATTATCTTTTCAATATCGATATTACCATGATTTGAATCTGTTATCTTTCATTTTCAAAATTAAATCTATTAAAAACATTTTTTACATATGCAGTACAAGGGTTTCGGTGTTACTTTCTCTTTGATAGTAGTGTTTTAAGAAACTTGATATTTTTTTAGTACTGTATATGAAGATGGAGTAAATGCTGAATATTTAATATTAATAAACATAAAAATATTTTATTAACATGTAATAATGACAAAATCGTACTTTTATTACTATATTCTTTAATCATTAATAAAGAATTTTTTTCTGCTGAACAAATTTTTATGGGAGTTTATTTGAATATATTTTGTGCAAAAATACAATGCTTTACAAAAACTATAAAAATTCAAAAACAACATTACAGCTGTAAAAATATCCTTTAACATTTTTAATTTCAAAAAACTAAAAGCAATCCAAAATTGAAATATTTCAAAAACATTGAAATTAATCTATGAACTAGCCTAAAAGCACTATAAATTCATTATGCAAGATTCCTCTCATAAAAAATTTCTCTGAAAATTTCTTAGTTTGTGTATGAACGCTAAATATTTTATTGTTTGTTGACTTTGGAATCCCCTTTTTTAGTCAAATGCATTTATTTAATTGCTTTGAAGCAAAACTGTGAAAGACTATTACGTACTGAAAAATTCATATAGCGTATAAATCGTTGCTATACGAATTTTGTGAAAATTATTTTTCCACAACTTGATTCAATTTTCCCACTACAAAAGATAACAATTCTAAATGCTTTGTTTATTGAAATAACAACCTAACAAAAACTGAATACGTAACAAATAACAAAAGTTACAGCACATGCATGTATTATACATTGATTGTCCTTGTTGTCTTGCAAATAAATATCCTGAACTTAAATGTATGCAAATATCAGTTTACCTTGTGTCCAATATTTTAATTGTTATTTGGAAACAAGGATTTGTGTATGCTATTTCCAAATACAAGTGCACACATTTATTTCTATATAAGGATAAGTGCATCTATTGCTTGCACATAAGCTTACTAAGCTGGATGGGTGAGAAGCAGGCAAATTGTGGTGATTAGACTAACAAAATCAACGTAAAATTGTTTAATAACATAAAGTGCAGTCACATTAGGTTAAATTTAGTATTTGCATTCTAATTGTGTGTATTTAAATGGAAATACTTGTGTGCTTAACATTAGTGGTCTGTCATATCTTGTTAGGAGTCAATGGACTCTATTTTCACATGCACATGGCGTATGAATTGTCTTGGTCAGTAAAGCGGAATTGAGTTTGCATTCATTTGTGATTTTATTTAAAATATTTTAATTTATTTCTAGCCTGACAACACGTTAATTTTCCAACTTTTGATACTTTAAACATACCATATATACAAAAATGAGCGAAGATATTTCCACTCATAAAAAATTTTTCTTTTTACATGTCTGCCGAGACAGTCGTGTGCCCTCACTCATTTTATTTTTAAAAATAGATCAATCTCAGGAAGCATTGTGCAATTTTCCCAAAAAGCGATGTTAGCAATCCGTTTGGAATATAAACGCTGTTTCATATATTTTCATTTATTTGTGTTTGCTTGTATGTATTTATAATGCCATAATTTTATCTCTATTTAGTACCTAACAATACATTTCATATTGTGTGCGCATTCAGAGTTTATTGAACTCAATTTATATAAAGATTCATCACAAAGTTTGCAAGGTGCATCCACCTTATTCACATGCAAATGCTCATTCTGCAATTGCAAAACGTTTTGCAATTTCATTTCTGTTAAGTTGTCATTTGGAATTTAGTATTTCATACATATTTCATGAAATATGTAGATTGTAAATCAAAACGTTTATATGAATAGCATTTGTAAAGTTGATCAAAAGCAAAACTGTTGAAGAAATCCTTGTGCATTTAATGTCAACCTTTTGACAACGATTAACATTTTACTACAATTGTAAATGGAACACATTTCAAATTTATTTGTTAGGACTACAAGTTCTAATTATTGTTAATAATGACATTGTTGATATGTAGTCTTAATTATGATACAAACCGCTCTAAGTAAACGGGAGTCCACCGGGATGATTATTTTTGACATAGCCAAAGCTTTTGACAAGGTCTGGCATGATGGTCTAATAGTCAAATTAGCCCGTTTTGGGATCCCTAGTGGTTTGACTAAAATCATTGGTAGCTTCCTGCAAGAAAGGTCCTTCCGTACTAAAATTAATAGCACTCTTTCGTCCGCCCGATCAATTGTAGCAGGTGTACCTCAAGGGTCGCCTTTGTCTCCCACATTGTTTAATATATACACGGCAGACATCCCCACCTTAAGTCCCACATCAATGGCGCTTTACGCAGACGACACATGCTTGATCTACTCGGATCGGGATGCCTTAAATGTAAGCAACACGTTACAGGGAAATATAGACCTTATGGTGGAATACTTCCAAAAATGGAAGATTAAAATTAATAATGACAAAACTAAGGCTATATTTATAACTCGAAAAAGAAGACAGCATCCTCCAAGAGTGAGCGTTTGCGACACGGAGATACGGTGGGAGGATAACATAAAATATCTGGGGGTCACTTTTGACAAACGGTTCAATTGGTTTAAACATTTGAAATACCAACGGAATAGCTGCTCTAAGATTCTACATTTATTAAAGCCGCTATTTAATAATTATCACTTCAACTTTAAAAACAGAAAGTTACTTTACACGCAAGTAATTAGACCTGCACTTCTGTACGGATGTGTTACATATAGCAAAGCCTCAAATACCACCTTAAAGCAATTACAGATAGCTCAAAACCTGGTCTTAAGAAAACTGTTTAAGATTCCATGGTACATTAGATCTACGGACATACATAGAGATCTTAGGATTGACTCAGTGAAAAAATATATCAGAGACAGAGCTTTAAAATTATTCACTAAAGTTGATACGCTACTTAACCCCGCCATAACAATCCTCAAGTCCACTTCTGGACTCTCAGGAAGATATGCTGATTTAAGGTCCGTCATCAACTAAAAGACAAATAAATGATATGATTTTTTAGCCTAGTTAAAGCCTAGTGTGGGGTAGTGATTAACCCCCCAGTCATTATAGAGTAAAAGTGCGTAATAGCACTAACTCAAGAAGAAGAAGAAGAAGAAGAAGAAGAAATATTTTACTGATTTTTACTGACATATCAATTTTATAGAAACATAATACGTTTCTATTATTTAAATAATTTTTAAAATAAAATTTATGGCTTTATCGATCTGTTTTTCACTTTATA